CCTTCTCGATCGTCTGGAGCGCTGCAAAGATGTGCTTGTACCCCTCTGGCTCTTTCAGCTTCTCGTGGTCGGCCATCAAGTCCTCGCAGGCTTTGTAGGCCTCACCATGCAAGGCGTCCAGCAATCTTTTGCCAAACCGTTGCTTCTTCTTTGCCAGATCTCGGGCTTCTTCTGCTTCATCTTTGCCATCGCCCTCCAGGTTGTTGAAGGCAAACAACACCCTCTGGCGCTATTCCCGCATCAGTCCTGGGATTGATCCCGTGTAGTGAGGGATCCCGTCTCGATCCACAACCACCTCATCATCTCTGAAGAACGGCTGCGATCCAGCAGTCGACATGGCGGCGGCAACGCAAAGCTCCGCTACCAGTGCGAAGCGTGCACTGGCAAGCGAGCAAACTGTTTTATGCCACGAAACAACTAGACGACGGATGGCCCGAGAGCGTAGAGGAGCAGGGTCTTCTCTTGTTAGTATGGAGACGCAATTTTAGAAACGATGTATGAAAGATGTGTTATAGGCAGTCGAGAAGAGGAGTATCAAGACCAAATAGTGAGAAGCTTTTACACACAGTAGCTTTTACACAGACACTTTTACACAGAAAGTTTTTACCCACAGAAGCTTTTACATACAGAAGCTTTTACACAGACGCGTTTACACACAGAGACTTTTACACACAGACACTTTTACACACAGACCCTTTTACACACAGGAGTTGCTTTTACACACAAATGCTTGTACACACAGAAGCTTTTACACATAGACGCTTTTACACACAGGCACTTTTACACACAAACTCTTTTACACAGAAACACTTTTACACACAAACACTTTTGACGCGAACCCAAAGTAACAACGTATACAGGCAAAGCGCGATACGAATCTCGAACCAAAAGCTGCGCCGACCAGCTTCATGCTTTGACGAACAAACAGAACACAAGCTTGCAGTTCAAACTCGCAAAATCAAGCGGTTTTACCAAAAGCTAGCTGCAAAACATTGAATGACTGCCACACACTGACATCCCGAGCTCAGAAGCTAAAGCCTTCAATGCATTGATCCCAAGTTTGCGCACCTGGCGCCGGAAGAGATCAACTCCTCCCTCTGTCAAGCCTTGTTGCAACTCTTGGAGCTTCTCGGACATTTCCGGTTGAAGCGAACCCAGAGTAACAACTCATAGAGGCCAAGCACGATACGAATCTCGGACCAAAAGCTGCGCCGACCTACTTCATGCTTTGACGAACAAACTGAACACAAGCTTGCAGTTGAAACTCGCAAAAATCATGCAGTTTTACGAAAAGCTAGGTGCAAAACATCGAATGACTGCCACACACTGACATCCCCAGCTCAGAGGCTAAAGCCTTCAATGCGTTGATCCCAAGTTCGCGCACCTGGCGCAAAATCATGCAGTTTTACGAAAAGCTAGGTGCAAAACATCGAATGACTGCCACACACTGACATCCCCAGCTCAGAAGCTAAAGCCTTCAATGCATTGATCCCAAGTTTGCGCAGCTGGCGCAAAATCATGCAGTTTTACCAAAAGCTAGCTGCAAAACATCGAATGACTGCCACACACTGACATCCCCAGCTCAGAAGCTAAAGCTTTCAATGCATTGATCCCAAGTATGTGCACCTGGCGCAATATCATGCGGTTTTACCAAAAGCTAGCTGCAAACCATCGAATGACTGCCACACACTGACATCCTCAGCTCAGAAGCTAAAGCCTTCAATGCATTGATCCCAAGTTTGCCACCTGGCGCAATATCATGCGGTTTTACCACAAGCTAGCTGCAAAACATCGAATGACTACCACACACTGACATCCCCAGCTCAGAAGCTAAAGCCTTCAATGCGTTGATCCCAAGTTTGCGCACCTGGCGCAAAATCATGCGGTTTCACCAAAAAGCTAGCTGCAAACCATCGAATGACTGCCACACACTGACATCCCCAGCTCAGAAGCTAAAGGCTTCACTGCATTGATCCCAAGTTTGCGCACCTGGCGCAAAATCATGCGGTGTTACCAAAAGCTAGCTGCAAAACATCGAATGACTGCCACACACTGACATCCCCAGCTCAGAAACTAAAGCCTTCAATGCATTGATCCCAAGTTTGCGAACCTGGCGCAAAATCATGCGGTGTTACCAAAAGCTAGCTGCAAAACATCGAATGACTGCCACACACTGACATCCCCAGCTCAGAAACTAAAGCCTTCAATGCATTGATCCCAAGTTTGCGCACCTGGCGCAAAATCATGCGGTGCAAAACATCGAATGACTGCCACACACTGACATCCCCAGCTCAGAAGCTAAAGCCGTCAATGCATTGATCCCAAGTTTGCGCACCTGGCGCCGGAAGGGATCAACTCCTCCCTCTGTCAAGCCTTGTTGCAACTCTCGGACCTTCTCGGACATATCCGGTTGCAGCGAGACCAGAGTGACAACTTCTAGACGCCAAGCGCGATACAAATCTCGAACCAATAGCTGCGCCGACCAGCTTCATGCTTTCACGAACAAACGGAACACAAACTTGCAGTTGAAACTCGCAAAATCATGCGGTTTTACCAAAAGCTAGCTGCAAAACATCGAATGACTGCCACACGGCAACATGCAGCAGGCCTCCAAAATCTCCAAAGACGAGCACCACGGCCACCAAAAGAAGCTCTGGAAATGCTTACAGTCATGTTTGCTCGGCCAGTTCAGGGGGGAGCAGGGTCTTCTCTTGTTAGTATGGAGACGCAATATTAGAAACGATATATGAAAGCTCTGTTATAGGCAGTCAAGAAGAGGAGTATCAAGACAGGGCAATGAGAAGTGCAAGACAGTAGTTTGCATCGCAAACACTTTTACAAACAGACGCTTTTTACACACAGACGCTTTTAAACACAAAGCTTTTACACACAGAGGCTTTTACACAAACACTGTAACACAAACACTTTTACACACAGAAGCTTTTACATACAAACACTTTTACGCACAGACGCTTTACACAAACACTTTTAAACAAACACTTTTACACACAGAAGCTTTTACATACAAACACTTTTACACACAGACGCTTTTACACACAAACGCTTTGACACACAGACGCTTTTACACACAGACAACCTCTACACACAGACGCTTTTTACACGCAAACGCTTTCACACACACAAACACATTTACACACAGAGGCTTTTACACAGAAACACTTGAACACAAACACTTTTACACACAAACACTTTTACACACAGACGCTTTTACACACAGACACTTTGACACACAGACGCTTTTACACACAGACGCTTTTACACACAGAGACTTTTACACACAGACGCTTTTTACACACAGGCGCTTTTACACACAGACAAGAACGGCACAAGTAAAATCGCACTTTTACCTCAGTTTTTGCCGATCGCCCCTCATTTCGTGCGAAAGGGTTGCTCCGGGTCAAGTCAAATCGCAGTTTTACCTCAGTTTTTGCCGATCGACCCTCATTTCGTGCGAAAGGGTTGCTCCGGGTCAAGTCAAATCGCAGTTTTACCTCAGTTTTTGCCGATCGACCCTCATTTCGTGCGAAAGGGTTGCTTTAGCACACGTAAAATCGCACTTTTACCTCAGTTTTTGCCGATCGACCCTCATTTCGTGCGAAAGGGTTGCTCCAGGACAAGTCAAATCGCAGTTTTACCTCAGTTTTTGCCGATCGACCCTCATTTCGTGCGAAAGGGTTGCTCCGGGACAAGTCAAATCGCACTTTTACCTCAGTTTTTGCCGATCGACCCTCATTTTGTGCGAAAGGGTTGCTCCAGGACAAGAAAAATCGCACTTTTACCTCAGTTTTTGCCGATCGACCCTCATTTCCTGCGAAAGGGTTGACGTTTCGTGACTCGCCGCCGGCACCACCCTCGGCCTTAAGAGAGAAAGATAAAAAGAAGGCATGAGAGAGAAGGTGAGCAGGTGTGAAGATGAGAAGATGTGAAGATGAGCAGATGTGAACATGAGCAGATGTGAAGATGAGCAGATGTGAAGATGAGCAGATGTGAAGATGAGAAGATGGGAAGGTGTGAAGATGAGCAGATGTGAAGATGACAGATGTGAAGATGAGCAGGTGTGAAGATAAGAAGATGTGAAGATGAGCAGATGTGAAGATGAGCAGATGTGAAGATGAACAGATGTGAAGATGTGAAGATGAGCAGATGTGAAGATGAGCAGATGTGAAGATGAGCATGTGAAGATGAGCAGATGTGAAAGATAAGAAGATGTGAAGATGAGCAGATGTGAAGATGAGCAGATGTGAAGATGAGCAGATGTGATGGGAAGGTGTGAAGATGAGCAGATGTGAAGATGAGAGGATGTGAAGATGAGCAGATGTGAAGATGAGAGGATGTGAAGATGAGAGGATGTGAAGATGAGATGTGAAGATGATGAGAAGATGTGAAGATGAGAGAATGTGAAGATGAGATGTGAAGATGAGAAGATGTTTTACAGACCCCCACTATTGGAAGAACCCTGCGCTCAGACGCTCTCGGGAAAAAGAAAGGTATCTGTTATGCTGTACACATGCAACGTTCTGTTGTCCTTGTCCATGTTTCATCTGTCGTTCCATGTCTGGCTCATGCTGCTGCATGATTCATATGTTTCCCGCTTTCCCGCGGACCGGAGGTCTAGCCAGGCCGGACCGTGTCAGGGTCGGACCGGGCATCCTCAGGCCGGCTACGCATTTGAACCAGCGTCAGGGCCGGCAGGCATGTAGAGGTGGTGGCTCACAGCAACCTGGCATCAGTGGCTGAATGCAGGCATCTCTTCACAATATATATATATATATTACCTACTATGTCACTATGTAATAGAAAAATATATACATGCCCATATGTATGCAGGTGTGAATGTACAACATGATATATATATATATATACTGTGTACATGTATATCCTTGTCTACATACGCACCTATGCCTACGGCTGGCTTTCTTTGTGTATATGTCTATGCATAGATATGATACAGCTATGACTTGCAGAAACGGTCAAGGCACAATGACCACACGCTCCCCTTTCTCCATACGCTCACGCAGATCTCGCGTCGAGAGTAAAGGCGCGACATTTTCTGAGCCTGCCTTCGTGGCAAAGTCCAGTGCTGCTCGCCTGGCATCGTCGTAATTGCGATTGGTCATCTCGATGTCTGGTGGAGACCCTCCAAAAAATCAGAGCCTGCGATTCACCTTTTTTTTAAGCGCCAGTGCGTCTCCCCGAATTTGCAGTCAGGGTCATGTAGACTTCGCTCTTTCAGCGTGGGGGAAGAATCCAAACTTGAGCCGAGATGCTTTTGACAGACCTGAAGTGGGACACAAATGTGGTCTTCAAAGTCGAAAGGTCCGATGCTGCGGGAAGCCCTCATGACAGAATGCAGAGGTGCCAATTTTCTTGAGCACTTGAAGATCAAAATATGGAGGTTTCCAATTCATGGGGGTACCCCTAGTTATCATCCATTTGAAATGCGGATTTTCCATCATGAACCATCCAGCTATTGGATGCTATTGGGGATACACCCCCAATATCTACCCTCTGGTAATTTAACATAGCTATTGAAAATGGCCATTTACAGCGGATTTGCCCATTAAAAATGGTGGTTTTCCATAGTTTTTTGTATGTTTACTAGAGGGTCTATCCTCTATCATCACCCCATCAACCCTAAATCAAACAACGAAACCCCGCCCACGAAATCATGTCAGTCTCAGCAACGGTTCCGTCCCAGGAGGAGGAGAAAACTTTGTTCGTCCCCTGCCATGGCCAAAAACCATGGAACATCACCATCTTGAATAGTTATGTAACAAAGTTATGTAAACAAACTAAATGGTGCATTTTCAATAGTTACATAACTATTCAATAGTACATTTGTAACTCTACATCAACAAACTAAATGGGGCATTTTCTGTAACAAATGTAACAAATTACCAGAGGGCATTGATGTCTTATGATTTCCCTCAAAAGATGGATCTGCCGAAAGGACGTTCATCGTTCGTGACTTCCGCTGTTCAAAAAACTAGTGAACAAATGTGAACAATCCTTGGTCCTGGATTTGAACACCCGATAACACTGGAGGGGAAGCCAGCAATGCCAATGTAGCAGCCATGTTCACTTACAACATGTTACAACTGGAAACAATCAGGTGGTAGACCAAGTTGACCCTGCAGTGCTTTGCTGGAACGCACCTTCCATATTGAAAGACAAGAGATGTCCTGGCAGGTTGAGATAGACATGCTTCACTACCCTAGTGGAACACGAACCGCCCAAGGTCTGTCTTACTTGTTGACTCAAAAGGCATCACACACTGTTCCTACGCGGAAAGGTATACCAGGTACCCTCTGGTTATTTAAGATAGCCATGGAAAATGACCCATTGAAATAGATTCGGTTTACCTATTAAAAATGCTGGATCTTTCCATGGCAAACTGTTAGTCATAACCAGATGGTAAATCCACCCACCCATCCATCCAGGTGTCCGTGGGATGTTGGTCGAAGACGCTGAGAACAGCACCATTCTGCAGCCCATGGGATTGCACCTCACCAGTGGCCACCGGCCACAGGCCAGGCCAGTCATCGAAAAATAGGGCTTTCCATAGTCATGGTGGTACCCAATAGCTGGATAGTTTTATAATGGAAAATCCTATGAATCAATGGATGATTTGGAGGTACCCCCATGTCAGGAAACCTGAAAAAATCCTATCTGGTCCTTCTGAATTTTAGGATCCCCGGCCCTTCCTTTGGCATCGCCCAAGTAAATCTTACGGCCATTGTCAGCTACACAAGCTGCCGTAATCTCATCCTGTCAGCACCAGATGTATTAGCGGCTGACATCGACTCATATCAACGAAATGTCCAAGATGGGAATGGGGAATTGGCTCAGTGAACCAGTGGGTAAGTCATCCCAAACCAGGGCGAACTTTCTGCATTTGGCAAAAATGCTCGTACCCACAGCCACGTGCTACAAAAGTATTGGCACAAGTTGCCTCTTCACATCAACAGCCACGCACCTGCCCTTTCCAGGAGCACCCAAAATACATTTACTGTTCGGCACTCTCTTGGACAAGGTTTTTCTTCAAAGCTTATGAATGGAAATCCAAAAAGAACGAGTGATCAATATACGAAGAAGTGTGACTCCAACCATTGTTTTGTCTCATTGTTTCTATCTGAGCCAATGGTTTCTGGTACGAAACTGATTGGTTTGAGAAAGTGAATTCAATGCAGTCAGTGAGTAATTTGTCAAAACCAAGAAGTGTCAAATGTCAAGTCTTGCTATCATTCAGTTATTTCGATGATATTAGATTACTAGCATTTATTAGCTATATCTGAATCTAGATTTGAGCTGCCCCGAAACAAATAGTGACCAAGTTCGGCATCCGGGTCCTGCGTGATATCTCGCAGCACTTTGAAAAGAACTCCTGCCAGCAATGGGTGATGCAGATTCCAATTTGATGCGCTCTTGACATACCGCGCTTCCCAGTGCTGGTTCCCAAATGACATTTCAAACAGCCGGATGCCTTGGTTTTTGCAGGCTTTACTAGAGAACTCCATCCAGTGATGCCCTGAAGATCTTGGCATTCTATGGATCTCTATGGATCTCCATGGCACTGCCTTGCTGTGTCTTGTGGGGCGGCTTTCTCCATCTAAAAATTACGCCAGAATAAACCCCAGATAGCAAGACATAAAATGTTTTGGGCAGCAACTAAACTCTTCACCAACCACGATCTTTGCACTGAGACTGAAGAGCATGCTGCACGATCTTTGCTGTACTTTAAGGATCTTAAAGGTATCAAAGCCAGGCGTTTCCACGTCCTGTGTTGGCATTCCAGGTCTTCACCGTCTGCTTGCTGATCTCAGGGAGAACTCGTATGGGGACATGGAAAATGTGCAGAAATTGCCCATGCGGACGCCTCTGGGCCCGGTCCCTGGGGGCGCCAGCTGTGTAGAATTCTCCCACTGTGGGGTTGTACAAAGCATCGGTCACCCCACCTGCGACAAATCTACCGCAACATCGTCCGCAGTCTGCACCCGCAACACACAACGTCAATTGATGTGGCCTGTATCGGTCACACTTTCGCCGCCCCATTCATCCATATAGTCATGCAAAATGACCTCAAGGTCAAGTTTGGAATGATCAAGCGCAGTAGAATTGAAAGCACCCAGTAAGGCTTTCCATGGCCTAAAAAGAGTCTCCCAAGTGACTTGTAAATATGCACTTCTCGGATTGGATATCCAGCAAGGATCACTACAGGTAGTGTATTTGTTGATGCTGATTAAACCAAACTATGAATTCTGCTTGCAAAGGCCTTTGCTAAGGTCTATGCTTTCAACAGATTTCATGTTCAGGGTTGCAAATTCTGTGGTTTCAGCCACTCGACAAGCACAATTCCTTCATCGTCTCCAACCACCAAATTCCAGGTTTCCAAGGTGTGATTCCCAGTGACACAAGTGAACCAAGAAGGGGTCTAAAATACATGAAAATAAGACTTTCGCTAACTAAGCTAACAGTGACTCGACATGTCTCACGAGCTAACTGGGCTCCATACCCGACTTGCACCGGCTGCTAAGCGGTGGTGAGGCGGCCTGGGATGCAATTGGAAGGAAGAACAAGGTTGAGGCACAACTGACCCAACCAGCCGCTCAGCTACCAGCGTCCTCTGGGCTACCAGACATGATGCAAAACGTGTTGAGATCATTTAAGGTGGTCCTCACTCTGCGGGTTCGATTTTGAAAGCCAACACATGGTGCTGTGAATCTTTGGATATTGCCACAATATGCCATAATCATGTGCTACTTTCCAATGCTTTCCAATTCCAAAGATGTTCTACGGCAATTTCGATCATTTCTCATGGAACGGGCTGAGCCCCTGAGTCAACGCCCTGAGAACATCTGAGAACCGACACCGCACTCTGGGTTCAACTGGGTTCAACTGGGTTCCCCAGCTCGTTTCCACCGAAGGACTGAACCTCGAGCCCACCGGGCCGAAGTGTTTTGTCCGTGTGTTTCACCCCGCAGCCATCTCCTGGGAGTTCCCACACAGCGGAAACTTCGCATGTCCCAAAGTCGGAAGGTTCCAGCCACCTGCGCTGCGCTTCGCGACAGCGTTCATCATGTTTTTCATGTTCATTTGCCGTGAGAATCTTTGCATGGAATCCGATAGCGTAAACAACTCGAAGAGAAAAATCAGTGGCTAGACTGTCGCTTTCCATGTCACTTCTGGGATGCTTAAGAACTTAAGCATCGCGAACTAGGACCTCCAAAGTCTCAGAACGGAATCCATTTGTCCCCACTAGGACCCTTGAGCATCCACCAGATCTATCTGCCACACTTGCTACCCTACTGTATCACGCTGCACATCCTGAGCATCCAGCATCCGCGGAAAGGATTTGTGGTGTGCCCGGCACAATCGAAACACCACAAAGAGCGTGTGTGTGGCCTTGCGCTTGCAACAGAGAAACACAGAGAAACACAGCGCGCGTTTCCATGTCAGATATGTGGCCTGGCAAACACATATCTGACATGGTGGGACAAAGTTGCAAAAAATCTTCTGCTGGTTTCAATTCATGTTTCATACGCATGCTGGTGAGGTCTCCTGGTCTTGGAATTCCTGCAGCATTGGAGTTGAAGGGGTAGAAGGCCCACATGTCCACATCTTTGGAAAGCAGCAATATGAATGTGCACGAAGTCTTTTGTCTTATGAGACGTTTCATGCGATCGTTGACGACAGCTGATTGCTTCAGCACCTCCCAGGCTCCTTACGTTTCAAAGACACAACACCAACACGAAGACAAAAAAGATCAAGGCACGAACCAGACAACTTCGAGACACCAAAGCACAATGGAAACGAGATACCACCACCACACCACACCACCAAGATATTGTAGCAGTGCCAAGACACCAGACACAGAGACACCACCGACACCACCGAGTCACTCGAAGACTTGGAGACCAGGACACACGCAGCCCTTGATCCAACGTCAACCGCCACTGCCGGGGCACTAGAAACCCTTCAAAACGCATGTAACTCATTGCAACTCACTGCAACTCTGGACACACACAGACTTACACTCAATAGCGATAAAATAAATACCCAGATCAAAGCAGGCCCAGGCCATCCCAGGCCCACATTTCGTGGAATCAAACCTCGCAGCGAAATGCGCGGCACCTTTGAGTCTGAAGATGGGAACTCGCTCCACGTACGGATTCCAAACCTGACGTCACTCGAGCGCAGTTTTTTCAGGATCAGAGCTGGCCTACTGTGAGCGCTAAGGCGCAGTTACAATGCCATGAAGATCAGTGAGAAAATGCATGTACAAAATACAGGTCCTAGCGCCGTACCGATGGCATCAATTTCTTGAAAGTGTCCGCGCTATCAACCTGACCTAGCACAGAGTGCTTTTCAGTGGTAACTAACCCTTGATGTAATTTTGCTTTGTTTGTACACCACCTTCACAGCCCTGCAGTAGCAGCAGCACATTGATGTTTTCCAAAGAGGTTGCAGCCACTCTGGAGTGTCTGACACCTGGTGAGCGCAAGTGTGACATGGACTTAGGAACCTGATTCACCTAACCACGGAAAGGGCAAAACATAGACCAGACCCAAGTTTTATCAATAGTTACAACGGTTGGTGGTTTCAAGCCCTCTGAAAAATATGAAAGTCAATGGGAAGGATTATCCCATATATCATGGAAAATATTTTTTTTTTGAAACCACCAACCAGTTGTCAATAGTTACAATAGTTTGTTTATCAACATGGTGCAACGGTATCCTTCACCATCTTCACCTCTGCTCATTGTGTGTGGTGCCCCACAGCTTTGCGTGTGGCTATACAGATGTTTTTTTTTACCAGATCCAAGCCAGCAACGCACAGCGAACTGGCCACCGCACAGCCAACTGGCTTGGATCCAGTTCTTTACTCGCGATCTTTACTCGCTATCAGCGCTATCATTTCACCGTGCTCTGCCAAGCTCTTCGCCGGGCTAAAGGCCCATCACATACGAAGCCTAGTCTGCACTTTTTCTGCACATCTTAGGAGCAGAATTTCGCAGAGTTCAAAGCGGCAAAATCCCTCGATTCCATTCAGCTTGTCTGAAAACCATCCTTTTCTCGGGTGACTCAGGAAAACTGTGACCCTTTCCAGTTGGAAGGTGGACGATTTGGACAGCAATTCTACTGAAAACGATGCCACTTTTGTGGCTATTCATACCACTTTTACCATATTGTTGCCAACGATAAAATGTCAAAACTCCGCCAGGATTGATTGGCCTGTCAGCCAAACTCAGTTCCAGTGCTACCATGGTGGTGAATGGCAAAAGTATGAAAAAAATACGACCAGAAAATGGCGTGTATACTGGAATCTCAGCCATTCTGAGTCACAGCCTGAGCCTGAACTGACCTAGTAACCTAGTAACTTCGGCTGTAGATTCAGTGAGCCGACAATGGTACTAACATCTGATCTTCGAGGAATTGGGCAAATTGCCAGTTTCCGGCATTTCTAGGATGGGACAGGTCTGCAGAGGGAAGACCAACTTTCTTCCCTTGAATTAATTAGGGTTACTCTCCGGTAATCAAACATGGCAATGGATAATCACCTATTTATGCTTGATTTTCCCATGAAAAACTGCATTTATAGTGGATTCCAGTTGCCATGTTTCATTACCGGAGGGTAAATGAAAATAAAACATACCGGCGGAGGTCCAGCTACCGACAGTGGGCAACCAACACCACGACTCGTGCAGAAAAGGATAGCGTCATGGCGGTCATGGCGACCGTGGCGGTCATGGGTTGCCCACCTGCTTTCCCACTGAGCATAGATCCTCCGTTCTCCGGGGGAAAACAACTGAGCAGCGCCGGTCTTGGCATCGAAGCGAGGCCCAGACCAACCTCACACCGGCCAATCCAAGCAATCCAATCATGCCCAAAAATGTGTGAAACATGTGTGTGTGTAACATCTTAGTTTTCCTTTGAAAAAAAACAGGAAGACTGGATGATGACTCCACAGGCTGCTGACCCATGCTGAGCTCCCCGACTGGCTGACCATCAGACCGAAGATTGGCATTACAAAACATGGCCGACACAGGAGAGTCTGGCCAGAAGTGTGGAAGAAAACAAACATGAAAGACTTAGGGATTAAGAGATCCCAAGACTCTTTGGCTTGCAAAGCATCCAAATCCTCAAGGGATCGTTTTCACAATTCATCCAATCTCCCAAAACGCTGATTTCACAACCCTACCGCGCCTTAGAGAACGATCATGCGCTGCAAAGCATACGAACCGATGCCGGCAGCAAAGCCAAGGGCCGCCCATGGAGAGATTCGGCGCATGTACCACAGAAAACCCACGTGCTCCAAGCCCATCAAAGTCACACCTGCTCCGTCTCAAGATCCCCAAAGTTTTTGCTGCATTTTATCATGGGAAAATGAGGAATGGAGACTGCTTGAGGATGCCAAAATGGAAATGATTTTACTCTACTGCCCAAAAGCAGTACGAGTTGGATCACTATTTCAGAACGATAGAAACCCAAATCTGAAATTTATTTTGCTGTGTTTCATTTGGATTTTGGCCACAAACGTTTCGTGAAGTTGCCTGGGCAAATCATTCATGTGAATGAAGACCTGTGGAGACATAACTCATCCAATTTTGGAGTACCACAAGCCACGTCAGATCCCAACTCATCTACCCTCGTGCAGATGGCTGCAGCCTGCCTGCTACGCTTCCAACCGCCAACATGGACCCGCCTGTCAAGCAAAATCTCTGGGAGATTGTTCCCTTTTCATAGCATTCACAACATGTGTGTTCATATATATATATATATGTACAATAAGTTTACATTTACATATACATATACATATACATATATATATATTTTAATGTATATATGTATACCAAAAATATATTTATATTATACATTGGTGAAGCCATGGAATGCTTAACACTCCAGGCGATATGGGCGCAAAACCCCTTGGCAAGGGCAGGGGCCAGCATGGCCGGCAAAGATGGTTGGCAAAAATTTTTGCCAACGTGTTCTGCCAAGCAGTTTGGCCAACATGTTTTCCAAGCATTTCACGCCCTTCTACCGTAGCCCTACACATGTGAAGGGGGAAGGATACGCTGCAAACTGCCCTATAGCAAGCACGTCCCCGCAAGCCTTCCAACATGAACCCACCCCGGAGAACGGATTCTTAAATAAGGATTTCCGACCTTCAACGCAGCCACGTTCTGAACATATCCCAAACATTGCACAAACACAACACAGCCACCACAACACAGACATATGCCGGAAGCAATTCAAACATCTGAACCAACGCTGCCCAGATAAGTTGAAAACAAGTGAGACACCCAAAAAAAGTGCGCCCCACAACCACAAATTCAGCCATGGGTTCTGTTTTTTAATCTGACATTCTATCTGACATGCGTTACTGACATACTTTATCATATTCTATCTGAGGAATTAATCTTCTGACATGTTGCCTGGCGTTTTTATCTGACATTTAATCTGACATTTAATCTGACATTCTTACATTCTATCTGACATATATTCTGACGTTTTATCCGGCATTCTACTCTAGTACCTGACAAGCTCGTTGATTTGTATATGGCATTAAACCTGACACTTATTCCTACCTTTTGCCCGGCGTTTGTTCTGGCATTTTACCTGGCATCCTGCCTGACGTTACAGACAACACACACACACACATATATATATATATTTGACATTCTCTATTTGCCATGTTTTCTGACCGGTTTTATCTGGCATTCTATTTGGCATTATATCTGGCATCTCTCTGACATATATTATCCGGATGTGCAAAGAGCTGGCGAGCTCGCCAAAAGGCCGTGGTGTCCGGTGTCCGCTGTCTGGCGGATCACCTGGCAGATGGGGAAAAAAGTGAAACACGTCCAGAACAGTTCCGGCCACGCCCTAAAACACTTCAGGCACCGCGAAGAAGAAAAGCCTGAAGGCTCTTACACAACCCACACAAAACAGAGACCGAACCTTGACACAACCCAGGCAAAACGTAGACACAACTTAGACACAACACAGACACAACCCAGACACAACCAAGACACAACCCAGACACCCCAGCGAAAAGTGAGACACAACCCAGACACAACCCAGACACAACCCAGACACGCCAGCGAAAAGTGAGACACAACCCAGACACAACCAAGACGCCCCAGCGAAAAGGGAGACACAACCCAGACACAACCGCGACAGCTCAGCTAAAAGTGAAACGCAACCCAGATGCAACCAGTTAAAAGTGAAAAAGCTAGATGTCCGTAAGATTGTCGGCCTCTTTAACACTCTGCGTCAAGCGACGGCACCCGTGCCATGTTTTGTCGCTTGTGTAGCAAGGGAACTTGAAACATCGTGGTGGGCTCCCCTCCTGCCAAGTGAGTGCCCTTAGATTTTGAGCACATCGGACAACGGGACACCAACACTACGGCAACCTCGCCAGCTCTCTGAGTCCCACCGGGCTCGACTTACGTCGAGCTCACCCGCTCCGGGTCCGTTAGCCGGACCCTGTGCCTGTGGGCTGTAGGCCCTGGCCGGTATGGCAAGCTCGCCAAGTCTCTAGGCCCTGCGGGGGCAACCTTTTCGCACGAAATGCGGTTCCACCATCAAAAACTGAGGTACAATTGCGATTTAACATCCTCGGCGGCAACCTTTTCGCACGAAATGAGGTTCGATCGTCAAAACTGCGGTAAAATTGCCAACTTGTGCGCTTCGGCGGCAACCCTTTCGCGCGAAATGAAGTTATATCGCCAAAAACTGAGGTAAAATTGCCATTCATCTGCGGCGGCAACCCTTTCGCACGAAATGAGGTTCGATCGTCAAAAACTGAGGTAAAATTGCGATTTTGAAGTGTCTGCGGCAACCCTTTCGTACGAAATGGGGTTCGAGTGTGAAAAACTGATGGTTTTTTGCGAATTTGGTTGGTCCTGTTAAAGGGTTCTGTGCGTAAAGCTTCTGTGTGTAAAAGCGTCTGTGCGCAAAAGCTTCTGTGTGTAAAAGCATCTGAAAGCATCTGTGTGTAAACCATCTGTGCGCAAAAGCTTCTGTGTGTATGAGCGTCTGTGTGTGAACGTGTACAAGTGCTTGTGTGTAAAAGTAAAAGCTTCTGTGTGTAAAAGCGTCTGTGTGCAAAAGTTTCTGTGTGTAAAAGCGTCTGTGTGTAAAAGCATCTGTGTGTGAAAGCGTCTGTGTGTAAAAGCGTCTGTGTGTAAAAGTGTCTGTGTGTAAAAGTGTCTGTGTGTAAAAGCGTCTGTGTGTAAAAGCTTCTGTGTGTAAAAGTGTCTGTGTGTGTGTAAAAGCTTCTCGTGTAAAGGCTTCTGTGTGTAAAAGTGTCTGTGTAAAGGCTTCTGTGTGTAAAAGCTGTTGTGTGTTCGATCGACGCCAGGAGCCACTTTGTGCGAGAAAACACAGGGTTTCGTGCGATTTCTCACCTCCAAACCTCAGCTTAACGCAGCAATTCCACTGCGATCTGTAATCATTGCCATGCAAATCACACTACAACTGCGTCGGCCACCTCTGAACTCGTGACCTTTCTGCTCTCTTCACATCTGGACAACGTCCAGACATTTCTACTCTCTCACATACATACTCTCTCCATCTCCAATCTCTGCACATCTCCATCTTTAATCTCCATCCCTACTCTCTCTCTCTCTAATCTCACCACATCCCTACTCTCTCCATCTCTAATCTCACCACCTCTCTACTCTCTCCATCTCTAATCTCTCGACATCCCTACTCTCTCCATCTCTAATCTCTCCACATCCCTACTCTCTCCATCTCTAATCTCACCACCTCTCTACTCTCTCCATCTCTAATCTCTCCACATCCCTACTCTCTCCATCTCTAATCTCTCCACATCCCTACTCTCTCCATCTCTAATCTCACCACATCCCTACTCTCTCCATCTCTAATCCCACCACCTCTCTACTCTCTCCATCTCTAATCTCTCCACATCCCTACTCTCTCCATCTCTAATCTCACCACCTCTCTACTCTCTCCATCTCTAATCTCACCACCTCTCTACTCTCTCCATCTCTAATCCCACCACCTCTCTACTCTCTCCATCTCTAATCTCTCCACATCCCTACTCTCTCCATCTCTAATCTCTCCACATCCCTACTCTCTCCATTTCTAATCTCTCCACATCCCTATCCTCTTCTACTACTACTACTACTACTACTACTACTACTCCTCATCTCTCCACATCTCTAATCTCTCCACATGTTCAAAATGTCGTAACACGGAGTTTAGACTACTAAACTTCCTCTGATAATATTGTGTATATATATATATGTGTGTATGTACCATGCACCTCAGTGCCAATCTCTTTGTATCATCCCTTCATCCATGTCCCCGTCGACCAAGCCGTCTGTGTCCTGTGCCCGCCTGTCCCAGCAGACAGAGCGACCAACTGCCACAGCGGGGAGTCCATTGGCTCGTGGAACATCTCAATGGAGGCCTGGAATTCATGGAATTCGCAAAGGAGGACCGTTGTTTGGAGGCTCGTAGACCATCTGGAAGTTGTTTGGAAGTTATTTGGTCACTGGACCATTGGATCTTTTTTGGTGTGGACCAAGCCGCATCAGTTTCACACAGTTTCCCGCCAAGCCAGTCCTGGACCAATGGCACGTTGTCCACCACTGCTGAGGAGATTCCCAACAAGACGGACAGAGACAATGGGCTTCCACCAGTAAATTCCTTGAGATGCGATGCTGAAAAACGCCAAGGCGCCAAGTTCTGGGAAGTTCTGGGAAGATCTGAAATCGTCTTTAACTTATTGAGGATCTGGGAGGTATACTCAGTGTACTGCATTGTTATATCTGTCATATCTCTCAGTCTATAGCCGAATAGCCATATCAGCCATTCAAGGCTTTGCAACAACCACGTTTTTCATGGGTTATTTCAGGGACATGACCATGCTGCAATGCTAGTTCGAGTCTTCTCGCATGGCTTGAATTCAGTCCAATGTAAAGAAAGTTACGAAAGTTGACCGTTTTCATGGCCATCGAAGCCAGCAATAGCCAGGAATCATTCATGAACTCTGAGTAGCGCGACAAGACCTGCAGCCGTTTGTGGATGTGGAAATCTGTGGTAATCTTTGCAAGCCATGGGGCATTGTGGGAAGTCGCCGATGGCGCAACGAAGTCCCAAGGCGCTGTTAGCCGCGCCTCTGCGGATTCGAGTGCAGCGACGGAAAGCAGGACACCGGTGAAGAACAGAAGGCTGCTCAAGTCGACCTGCACAGCGCTGGTCACAGCGGTTTTCTGCGCGCCATGAATTTGTCCCACCTTGTGAAGAGCAGCAGGAACCCCATGCTTTCCGTGCACCACAAGTGCTCCACCTGACAAGCTCAAGTTGATTTTTAGTTTGTTGTCCTTGGGAAAACCTCTGAGACTTGCTCACGGGAACCAACAGAGCACCCAGGGCTCCCTACCAGTTTCTTCATCCTCAGGGGCTGGTTTGCCTGCCGGAGTGGAGTTCTTATGAGACGACTGGCATTTCTCTTCCCAAGGGTGTTTTCGCGAGCTCGTTTTTCAGCAAACTCTGGGAGTACTAACAGCTGCAAATTGGTAGATGTCGAGCTGTACAACTCGGAACTTCAGGAACTTCACAAGTCTTCACAGGCTGTGAAGAACTCAGTGAACATTTGCCCGCCTAATTCAGTAATCTCGCACACCAGCCAAAATGTTCCAAGCGCCATCATCATCCCAAGGTATGGGGGCAGGCCTTCAGTCACTGACAGTCACTGAAGATCCATGAAATTCGCTGCTTTTCAGCATAGACAAACTGGCATTTTGCAGCAGTTTGTTCAACTGTTCAGGCCTGTCACCATCTTCACCACTGGCACAGTCAATATGCATGCCATTCCTTGGCGATGGATTGCGATGGATTTGGCTGATTTGATTCACAGCTATTCTCCCTGATGAAATTACCACTTTCTCTCTCTCTCCGTGTTGCGTCAGTTCCCGTGCCCAAGTTCGCTTAGCACCGCAGCACCTCTAGATTTGGACCAACAGTTGAGCTTGGCCATGCCAAGAGCCGAGCTGCCTACGACGAGGGCCAAAATGCTTTCTCTCGTTGCCACAGGCTCTTCCTCCCTTGGCCGCACACTGCTCCGGTGGTTCGCACAGCATTGAGAAGCGGGCTTGATCTGCACTTCCGGGGGTGCCAAGCCAGTCAAGCCAAGGCCCAGACTCCTTTTTATCCTCTTCAGTCTCAGGTGGTGCACATCTTTTGGCCTCAACATTCCACGTTTTTCCACGGGGGACACCGTGGTTTTTTTGTTTGGTCACAGCTTGATGGTCGCCTGCCACCAGATCCCAAAGAGAGGCAGCACGCCGGCCACGAAGGATGGGAAAAAGAGCCAGGTGATGGTGCCTGCACAGCTGCACAGCTGCACAGCTGCACAGCTGCACAGCTGGTCGCCAAGGGAGCACAAATCGAACAGTGTTACAGATTACATGGTTTTCAACACGCTTTCCCCATCCCTGCTCATTGTAAGTCTGGCTGCCATGAAACTAAAAACCACAAATGTCTGGAATCATTAGAACAAGTTTCTTGTTGGGTCTAGCATCCCAGCCGCTTCTCTTGAGAACAGAATCCATCTTCACTGCTTCAGATTCAAATTGTAAATGTCATCAAACTTAAAATGAATGGAAAAATATCAGTACTACTTACAAAAGAAATCTGTGTGACTTGCCGGGAAAATGCCCGGCCAAAGCTAAAAAAGTGATTTTCAGCTTTCAGCAACACAGCCCGGCCGTATGGAACAATGTGGTGGTTTCACAAAGGACTCAAGATGGCGAGGTTGATGGGAAAGCTGATTTTCAAAAAAATCATGGGACTTGGGGCTGGCAGATGTTTAGACACCAAAAGAAAATTCCAGGGAGACAACGGCAGGTCTCCCGTAACCAGTGCACAACCGAGGTCTGTGACCTGTCTGTGTTTTTAGTCGTGGAGGACTGTAGCATAATTCGAATCCATGGCACTTGCAGATGCTGCCGGCAATGCCGGTCTGTGACCTGCCTGTGGTAGAGATCTTGTGTCGAATCCAAAGCATTGTGGTAGTGACATCGCCAATGGGACTCCAGGCACCTGCAATTCCAGACTGCTATGTGCCGCTTGAAATCTTGGATCAGTTGGATTTACTCTGCTTTCATGTTTTGCATGGTTTTTCAAACACAACTGGACCTCATCCATCTGCAAAGTGTTGGTGAAACCACCCCATAGCCTCCCGCATTTGCGGCAACAACTGTTAGGCCGCCGCAGGAATGCCGCCAGTCCTGAAGGCAGCAAACCAGGCAGCTTGGCCAGTCATTCGCTCAGTGGATCCTGCCGGCGCCTTCTTGTGAGGGACCACTCTCTTGAGAATCTTCACGCACACGATCGTGGCTGTCAGATTATCGATCACTGCACCTGGAAAGAAAAACGTAGCGGCGAGGGTGCGTTGCTACCAGCTGAAAAAATACCATTTGCTTGTTTAACATAGCCATGGTATAGATGGCCCATGGAAATAGATGGTTTACCTATTAATAGCATGGTGATTTTCCGTAGTTACGTTAGTTTACCAGAGGGTAGCTGCAAAGGTCGCTGCAGCAAAATATGGCGAGATGCATCCACTAAGGGACTTGGCCTGGACGGCTTTGACATGCTTTGAGCATCAATCCTAGTGACAATGCTCATGGTCAAATTGTGGCCAAGCTGCTCAAGAAAAAAGCCAGGAAGCAAATAAGTGGCATCAGTCGATCCGCCTGCGTATATTGTGCGGAGCTACAGTCAGGAAAATGACCTCGAAAACAAGTAAAAAATTGAATCAATGAATAAACATCTCAAAATCGCATCATTTATAAATATAACACATAAAACACAAAATCCGAAACACTACGTGACGTCGAAAACAAACTTTTTGGCACCTTATGCTTGGTCCGGCGAACCATAAAGGATGTCACAATGGCAAAGCCCTCCAGGTGATCAATGGATTCCACAATTCCCATGGCAGGTAAGAGGAAGAGGATCACGCTCCCAACATCTGCCAAACCTTTCCTGAGGGAAAAACTCGGCGTGGGCGTGGGGGTTTTTGTTCTCTCTTGGTTTAAAAATCACAGCACCTGCTTTTTATGCTATGCAGCTATTCACAATTTTTAGACAACATGCAACTTCTCGGTTGGTTGGCGTCCCATCTGCAGTGATCCAATGAACCAATGAACCAATCTCATCTTTCGCCAAGAATCGCCAACTGGTTCTGAAGCTCGTCATGTCCCTGGGAAGATCCACGATTGCGACCAGCTGGGATGTGGCAATCCAGACGAACACAGGTCGTTTTTCAGTTGCACAAGTCAAGCTAGTCAAGACATGTCAAGACCAAATGATGTTTTTGGTCAAGCGATGTCATGTCGACCAATTTGGTGCAAAAGTGTCAATTGAATGGCTCAAAGCATCAAAGATAAAATCGAACATCTTTGCCCAGCTGGCGTCCAACCCACAACTGAGCATCTCAGGGTCCAAAAATGCCCGGCCTCATGAGAGGTTCCAGGTTTGGCTGCCTGACTATGCGGAGAGAAAGGTCGCATGCAACGGTGCTGTTTGAAGGACGTTCCGTTTGTCGCATCAAAGTCAATGGATCAGAATTATGTTGGAAGTCTGTCCACTGATCTTGAACAGTACTGGTTGGTGGTTAAAAAAAACATCTTGAAAAATGATGGAGTTCGTCAATGGGGTTGGGATGACATCCCATGAAATGGAGAATTAAAAATGTTGTTCCAAACCATCAACCAGAGTATCTAACTGCTCCTGGTAGCAACAAAACTCAGTTTGCAAGATCTCAGACTGCGTGGTCTACACCGGTCACTGGAACCTCCATCAGAAACGTTGCTGCTTGGTTCCAGTTGAGGCCGTCCTCCTTTCCCATCCTCTGGGATCAGTGGGATCGCACCGGGGCACCCATTTTTTTGTACCAAGACACATGATACGTCCACATCACGGAAGCTAACACCTCGCATCAGGACACCAGGAATCAATAGGAATCATGGCAGCCTTCTCAACGCTATCTCAACGCCAAGGCACCAACATGATGGCGGACTTGTCCAAACGAATCACGTCTTCCAAGGCCACCAATGTGATACCCGTTAAAAAGAGCGCAGCAAGGATCTTCCTCCAAAGTGGTTTGCAAAGTGCCCATGGTGCAATGAACATTCCCCGTCTTCGAACCGCAACAAGATCTTGCTCCCAGACTTCGTGACTAGAAATCCAAGAGAAGTACCCCAGAATCTGCTTTTTCTGGATGTTAATACTTGCGTCAGCATCACAAATATTCTTCCAACATCTACCCTGAAAGCCCCGTCCTGTGCACGTCCTCGTTCTCGATGACGTTGCTGGGCCATCCAAAGAAGGCCTTGGCCATGCATTGTGAACCCTGACGAGCGGAGACATCGAGCTTTCTGCAATTCACAGCCAGAAGAGTCTACACTTTTTCATTCATTCCTTGTTGGGCCCTGGGTCAAGATATATATATATATATTCTACATCATTCCACTTTCACCACAGTGCCACAGTTATCTTTCACGACAAGTTGCAAAGACGAAGATCACAATGAACAATCCCAGGCCAGCAATCTTCATCAATCGTCTGGTCGAAGTCACAGCTCCCTTCACCGCCTTTTCACCTGTGCAGCTTACATCCACCTTGGTCGTCTTGGACGCCACCGAGGCTGCAGGGCTTCTCACCCGCTCCACCTGAGAGCTCAAGGATGAGTGTGCTCATGACACTATCACAATCCAATCAATTTACACAAGAAAAAAAAACTGAGAAACCAAAACAGCAATCTGAGAGTCAAATACTGATAAATACTGTTCAACAGAAGTCGTTTCAATACTGTAAATCGACCATACATCGACCACTCTCTCCGAAACTCCGAAACGGGTGGCAGAGAA